CCACTGTAGTGAGTAGTTCTTCTTACGTTCAAGTGTAGTTGAAAGACGGATACAACTGAAACAGGCACAAAAAATCACACAATAACAGACGGTTAAGTACCATAGGACACAGCTGACCAGAAAGGTTGCAATCTCTTCTTCCGTTGAGCATTCACCATCAAACTTCCGACATACAAACAGCAACGGTACTAGTGAACAACCCCCATCACAGGCTCCCTTTCAATTCCACCACCAGTGGCTCCACAAAAAAACCGTTAACCCCCATTTTATATTACTACTTTCTCTCCAGCTCTATGAAAATCACAAACATAGACAAGAAAACCTGTTTTCGGTATTTTCTCGAACAAAATTTCGAGCGAAGGGAGTGTTCCGACCGCTAGTTTAAGGCTAATGCCATCTGTAGCCATATGGTTGTATAAAAGCAAAATAAAAGTTAGCACCATTTGAGATGACCTCGTAGATATTAAAAGATGCCCACGGCACTGGCTTTCTGTGAGCGCGGCAGTTCAGCATCCGTCATGAACAGCATTAGAAATGTTTTGACTCCTTCTTACGTTCACCTGTAGCAAAATCAGACACGATCTCATAAAACACTGGCGCAAATCAAAAGGTCAGGCCGGGTTATATACCGGCTTTTTATAGACGAGTAAACAAGCCCATGTTGGATGGAGGATGGCTGTTCAATTCAGAACATTAAGTAAAGCAAAAAAATACAAAAAAAAAACAACATCGTCGCGGAATGAATGCTAATATATATAGTTTTTATGGGCAATGCGTGACGGGGCATTCGAATTTTACTGCTCACCCGGGTGGCCAGCAATAGAGCGTCTGCAGAAAAGCGCCAACACTTTCTATTTCTTGATGAAACAACATCCCTGCCAGAAAATGTGCAGTAGATGGGGCTCCACTAGAAGACAATACAATTGACTTTTGTTTATACTGATCTATACTTAAGCAGGTTCAAGTAATCACGAACAAGCATGAAATATTTGATGGACAAGTACGTCTGGAAAAGTACTTACTGGACAAGCACTGTTAAGCAGAAGTTCTTCCTGCTCAGCAATACTTCTTATAATATTACAGCGTCAGTCAACCCTGGAATCCGTTAATCAGACATTTACAAAGGTATCTAGAAATGGGTTAAAACGAGGTCTTGAAGACTTCCCCCAACATTTCCATCACATTATGTAACACTTTGTGTTTAAGATCTCATAGCTGAAAACCAAAATAGTGAAAGCGCAGGCGAGCTGGTGAGTCAATTAGCAAAAAAAAAAAACAAAAAAAAAACATAATGAATAGACATAAAAAGGTCACCGACACACCGCCTTAGAGTATACGTGTCCTTAAAATAATGTCTTCCCTTTTGCGTCGCGTTCGCACACACCCCAGGCTATATCAGTGCGATGGCAAAGGTAAGTGACAGGCATTTGGAATGAATGGAACGTATACATTTTGGCCATCCACACCTTGCCACTAGAGCCCGGTACGCGGGAAGGTCTTACTCTTTCCTGTGTGCAGTCACCGTTGGACAAATGCGGTCACAGATGCCGGTGTCGGTCACGGTTTAAAATAATAAAAGTAAAAACAATTTTTAATCGGCAAGTTATTATGTAGAAAATCCACGCAATACATCAGTTGTGCTGGGGTTCAATCCTCAAGGAATGACACGCACGAAATATCATGTTCCCTTGACGAGGACGTCCGTACCATTTCTTCTATTGTTTCGCAATCAGATATTGGGCGGTTGTTCGATCGCATACAGCTCATGAAGTGGGAAGACGTTTCATATATTTTATAGTATGACTTGGCGTTGTAACTAACATTTTTTTGTTGTATTTTGTGGTGCGTAAGACCTCCACACGTGATTTTTGTGTCCATCGTAAGCCACAGGATTGTACCGTTGGTATATGTATATCAAAAGGGCCCTGCAAGGACTTCTTTCCTGGCTTTTAATTTGCACCGAACCTAAGCGCACTGAACGTAGTTACTTAATGAAAATTCTCTCACATTTCGCTTTATTTTAAAAGTTATAGGCAAATTAAAATCACAAAAACAAGGAAAAAAAAAAAAAGAAACTCCTTCATGACGTCCTTGCAGTGGCCGTGAACTAGAGGGTGGGTAGTGAGCTCAGCGAGCGCTCACGGCTGCAGCCCTCCGTGCGGACAGCTCGAGAGGGCGCCACCAAAACATGTGCTCGATAGGCCGGATGAAGCGGGCGGCCATGGTTGCTCGCAATGCATTTGGTGCGCGATTAAACCCTAATTCGGCATGACACTTCATTGGCCACAAATGACAGCAAACACGGGGTCAAGATCAGTACAGAACGGAAGCCACTTCGCGCTGCCATACCGCCAAACGGCCAAACCGCAAGCCAAACTTGCTCGCCGAAGGCCCTCGGAACGCTCGGAACCGGTCGGATCCTCCAGTCCATACGACCGGAGCGCTGCGGCGTACACTGGAACCTTTCTACGCTCGCCGCTTGTCGGTGCCTGACCCCACTACCCCTTTCTTGCATGCGCCGCCTTCTCCACCGCTTGGTGGCGGGTATGTCGATGGCTAATTTCTTGTTTCCGTACTTCGAATCTTGTATTTTTTTTTCTAACCTAAAATACTGAACAAAAACCACTTTCATAAATAATTGAAGCGGTTCGCGCCACTTATATTTTGTATTTTGACTAAAAAGAAGCTTTTAGTGGCTCTGACCAGTAGTAAGCCCAGGACCAAAGACTTCACATGTTGCGCGCTTTCGGCACTGCGGGTCGCCCGTAGGTAAAAAAGGTTTCCGCGTCGTCCGGTTAAAATATGACGCACTGATATTTAGCTACTCTCTCCGTGCCCGCTGGCTTGCCCGAACCCAAGAGACGTGGAAACCGCAAAAAAGGCAGACGCTTAAATATGATTGCAGGCCCCTCTATAGGTAAAGGAATACTGTATATCGGACAATAAAGATAGTAAATACTACTGCAGCCAAAAAGTAGAGACGCAAAGAAGAAAACATCCGTAAGCAGTCACTTCAAAAGATGCTCATCACAATTCTGTGTTCAGTTTATTGAATCTATTTTTTTTTTCTCGTGAGGACAGTGCAGTACATATTCTTGTCTATTACATCATGTGGAGCGACGAGCCGGAAGCAGGTGTTGTTAGGTAAAACATACGCAGAAGAAAGCATCCGTAAGCAGTTTCTTTAAAGCGTGCTGGCTGGTCACATTTATCTGTTTGATTAATAGCCTGTGTTCTTAATATAAGAACGAAGCAACACAGATTTTTGTTTGTTGAAACAGGAATGGAGACAGGCAGGTGGTAGATGTTTTAAAGGGTCGAGGATCACTTCGCGCTTTGCACCTTTGGGTTGCTTTCTATTCTCGCACGCCCTCCCTTTTTTTTTTTCTTTTTCTTTCCTGAAAGTTATATCAACTTTTCTCAAGACCCCTTCCTCTAAGCTGCACTGAAGCCTCGGTTGAAGTGTATTGCTAAAAAAAGATTATAATAATTATATTACTAGTAATATTTTTTATTGATTGATAGGTTATCATTTGTGATCTCTAAGACAGTTGTAAGCAGACTAACGGACTTAGCAGGATTAGCTCGATATCCCTATTTCACAGCTTTCAAATGTGATTTCAGCTCAGAAAAAGGGGTGTCTTAGGAGTAAACGTCCCAAGAAGGAAGTCAGAATGCAGCTTGTAATGCAGGCACGTATTCATTTCATGGCTTTTCAATCAAATGCAAACTCGTTATTAAGAAATCGGTGGCCGAGTGTGTTAGCACACCGCAGCTCGGAGTGAGTGGTGCGCAAGCTCGCGCTGCAGAAACCAGGCATCCTGAGTTCACTCAACCCTTAAACTTTATAGGGATAAGCGTTAGCATTGCCGGCTTTTGTTCTCCATAAAATGCAATTTGTGTTGCAAGTTGCCTTTATTAAAAGCCTAACTTATAGGAAGTATAATTTGGAGAGTCGTATACCTAAAATGGCTATATTTCTATTTCTTTCATAAATGTTTAATCAACGGAGACGGTTAACTTAACTAGAGAGAAAACATTGCAAAATAAACGGCTCTTACCTATTCAAATACATTACTTGTGGGATAACAGAGAAAACAAAGATCACATATAACACATGAATATCATCACTATAAGTACTCCACCAATAGTGTAGTGTTAAAAAAGTCAAACCTTCGAATTATCCATTAAATTATATCCAGAATAATCAAATATTGCAGCGGCTGCAGGAAAGGGTAAGTGACGATCGGTGCTCATTGTACCTATTGGTGGCGCGCTTCTAGCGCGGAGAGCATAGAACCTCAGTGCAAAATATTAAGGCATTAAGGAAAGATTAGCGTGAAAATGTCTCGATATGTGACAAGCGCAAATGGTTTCCCCAGCAAAAGATCTTGGAAAAGGCGTTCGAAAAAGGCTTCACGAAAGGAAGTCTCGAGAGTTGACCGTTCGATGGGAAGATGCGACGCGAATAATTGATCTTAAAAACACTAACACTCGTACGTCTTCCTACTTGTTTGTCTTTTACTACACCGGAAAAAAGATGCATGCCCATTACCATCGATACCAGCGCAGCATTCGTATTACCTTTGTATTATTTTTTTTATGTTGTGCGCTTGCAGCGCACGCTTATAAAAATCGGGATATAAATAACAGAACAGTCAACATACTGGACGAGCGCCAGACATACGCAAGCGAAAAACGCTGCAAAAAATGGCTTGAGAAAAAAAAAAAAAAAGATGACTCACCGAATGACTATTTTCCGACAAAGTTCAGAATGTTTTTGTAAAAAAAAAAAAAAAAAAAAAAATAACGCTTTGCAGTACGGAGGCAAAGGCAGTAGGCTTAAAATATGGATATCGACTTGCACCCCAAGCTGGAGACATGCAAGACTTATCTACTTCGTTTCCTGCGTGCTACTTTATTAGTTGCTGATGCGAAATAAAACTGCCTGGATAAAACTACATTTTCGGAATATATATATATATAAGTATGGTGGAGCGCGAAGTCATATCATTGTTCCTTCCTGCCAAGGTTCGACATGATGGCGCAAGTTTTTGTTGCTAAGTTGTATGTCATAAGCATATTAATGAAAAGTAAGTTGCAAATCTACGTTCACCTCGCCAAACGTATACCTGAACGTATCAAACAGCCTTAAGTATAGGTTGGCATCTCGGAGCTTATACTTTGATCAAAGACTTTGCCCTATTTTTTTCCGATTACTGTGCAGATATAAACAGGGTGCGTCTAAAACTACAGTAATGATTTCATCGCAAGAATAAACCATGTATCGACGAACGCTCGGTCTCCGCCAAAATGTAGCGCCAGCGATATTAACCAGATGGTAGTGTTTCAACACTAAGCGTTACCGTATTAAACAGTTTGAGGTGATTTTCTGAAAATTAATATGGGAAAATCAGATCCGTTCCCGTTGATTCTCAATAACTGGCGCCATAGAGGTCCACGTATTTGAGAGTTATTTCAACCGCCATTTTCCCAGTAAAAAACAAAAATTTTAACTTTTTAATAAGATAACAGTTATTGCTGAAACTTTGACATCTTTTTTGACCGCTAGCGTTATATTTGTGCAAAAAATGAGCGTTCAGCGATGCAAAATTAATTTTTTTCCTGTAAAAAAAAAAGCATAAAAAAAACTTGTAATGTGTTTTTTTTTTTTTTTTGTTTTTTACATTTTGTACGTGATGCCGAACTGCTTATAATTTAGGTTCGGTTGGGGTTCGAGTTCAGTAATTCTGTATTTGCCTCTGGTTTGGCTTTCCCGTTCAGTCATGCATGTGAAATATCGGTTTGGTATGCTAGTTCCACAAGGCGCAAGCTCGTTCAAATTGGTTCATTACTCTACTTTAAACCGTGGCCGTTTAAACAAAAAGAAAATTTATTAGTTCCAGTAAAAAAAAAAAAAAAAAAAAAAAACTTCCATTTTGGCTTTGATATGTTTCCGGTTCGGTTAAAATGAATCGTTTTTATTCGGTTTTTGGTTCGAGTTCCGGCTCGTTCCGACAGCCTAGCTTAGGCTTCGCCCTCCAAAAAGCGATATTGCTATCAAGGTTCGCGGGACGAAAGCAAACTATCGTAGACGGGAAACATGTTAACTATTTCTCTTTTAGCTGCTAGGCTTGGCCAAACTGCCTCAACCCCGGAAATACGGGCAGCACAAGAGAACGACGCGCAGCCAAGTAAGTTGTCAGTACAGTTACCATTTACTAGAGAGGGAAAGTGCTACACTGCCCAGATTAGAATGTCACCGAGGAACAGAACACCACAGTCGCATAGTCCACTTGCTTTTAAAATCAATTTAATTTCATTGAATTCAGGAAACGAAACTTTCTTTCTACTTTCATAGCTGTAATCGGATAGCTCTCCGTCATTCAATGGCCTTCTCAGTGCCCGGAAACCCCATGCCGGCTCTCTTTTCATTGTTGAAATTACGGATGACGCTGCCAAATTTCATTCAAGGCAGCATTCGCATATTTCTGCTTTTTAGAGTAACATGCGAAGGCTTACACGCAATTCGAGCTTCCTTAAACGCTGTCATGAGATTAAAATGTCCAACCTTCTAATCGCTTAATTAAGTGTGCGATAAAGCTCGTGTAAAAAAAAAAAAAAGTTACAGCTCAATGTTTTAGAGTAAGCTTGCGAATATATATATTTTTATAAACTACGTTGTTTGATTTTTGCTATTATGTCAGGTCGTCTTAAAAATCTGAGGTTAAACATAAATCTAGGATGACTACAGCGGACCTAATGCCGTAAAACATAAAGGAAAAAGCGGCTCCCGCACATGTAAATTTCAAACTTTTAACAAATGTGCATTAAGGTAGTCAATTTTCTTGTGAAATTGAAAGGCGTAGTTCTTTTTGCGTTTTTTTTTTGTATAAAAAATGGGACGAAACGAACTTACCAAAGTCAACGGCGGACGTGCTCGCAGTCGAACGAATTAGTGATGAATGTGACTTGCGGCGCCATCTTGGGATAGGGGTCAGCGAGCAGACGACGCACTCTGGTGTCTGCTCGCTGCGCCAAACGCCACACTCGTGTTCAATCTGTTCATTCGTGCTCAAATTCGGTTGGACATGTAGAAACTCCAGCGATAAGGACTCGCCATTAAGAAGGTGTTGGTAGAAACCAACATCTCTATTTCCTTATTCGCGGTCGTAATTATTCGAGTGTTGAGAGCTCACGTTTCGGTGTGTATGCAAGTTTTTATAATTTTCCTCCCGGCATCGAGATGCCCCAGATCAGCCAATGGTAAACTTTGATTTCCTTGATTTCCTAGTTCATTATTACGCAGAATACGGCTCATTGGCAACACTCACTGCATGTGCGCACAGTAAACACTGCATTTGCCCTAAAAGATGCAGGGAGAGAGTCGTTTTGCTTGAAAAATTTAAATGCTATCCGCATGTATCACGGTAAATGGCTTTTATTTTTTTAAGGTACATTGCAACCCCCTGAAGGAAGGGTGTATAACGGCCGGGATGCCCAGCCGGGAGAGTTCCCGTGGATGGTATGTTTGGCAAATTCGATGCCATTATCACTGGTTTTCGAGTCAGCTAAAATAATACACTTTAATAAAAACAAAGAGCTAAAATTACATGGTGGCACAATTTAGGTATTTTTGAGCCCCCAACGCGTGCGAATTCAAGAGTGGAAAAAGTTCACGATCTTTTTGAACATCGAAATAGTTTAGTTACATTTATGCTATGTTCTCAGCGTCACGTCTCGGATTTTTAAGGAAGCCAAGAGGTCGACAGTTGTATACGAAATCATTAAACTGTGTTGAAGAGATGCACCATTAGAAGAGAAATCTTCTATCACCATTTACTTTGGACAAAACCGCGATTCGCAGCAGATGTTGTGTGTCATCAACTGTTTCACGGTCGGTTGCAAAACATCACCCTGAAGGGTCCCGAATGTCATACGTGATCAGCGGAAGAAAAAATATAAAATTATCGTCCGTTCGTTGTGCCGAGCGGTTCCAGCGAATCCTCCGAGCGGTATCGTTTGATATAAAGCACTCGGTATTTCAGAGCGACAAGTTTATGAGAAATCGCTCGTGCACTGTCCTCATGCCTAACAGTTTAGGTTAATATGTCACGCGAAAATGCCATTGAAGGAAAAGGAGGATGCCTGAGTTTTCGCAATGCACACGCCATTGACAGCGCAACGCAATGCCGAGCCCAAGTTCGTCTGCTTCTCGCCCAGAGGCTGCACTGACGTCAGAACGCCGAGCTCTGATTGGCTCTGAAGGAGGGATAGACCCAGACTTGTACGTAATCCGTTACAAGTAACGAAATTACTTGTAATCCCTTACTTTTATGAGTAATTTAGTAACGGAATAATTACATATTTTCTAGAGTAAGTTTAAAGTAATTCCCTTACATTTTTTACCAAACGGATTTCTTGTAATCCGTTACTTTTTTTTTCAGAACCGCCCCCCCCCCTTCCCCCCTTTCTAAATTAGTTTTTTTTTCTTTTTGGTAGAGTCCAGCGCAGTGACACTGTCACACGAATTGACCAGCGCCCAAAGGGAGGCTTGGCACTCTTCAGTTCCGCAAAGCCTGTTTTTGCAACACCAAGCCCCTGTTTTTTTTGTTTTTTTTTTAGACCTTAGCAACAATGTTAAAAGAAAAACATTTCTACAAAGAAAAAATGGGGGAAGGGCAAGTTATATCCGCTTTTTTTAGTCCCTTTGTTTTTTCTTTGCGATCGAAGGCGGGGAGAGAAGGACACCAAGTGATTGTGTGCCTCTTCGTGAACCTCGAGGCAGTAAGTCCACAGAAAATAATTAACAATGTCCTTCTCGGTTATAGTGACTACGACCATTTTCATAATGTCACAACACGAGACAACGCTCGGTCTACCCTAAAATCCACTAAAAAAGATGTGATAATATGTGAAGGTGTTATTGCCACAAGCACCCTCGTTCGTTGCTGCACACTTATCATCTTCTCTTAGAAAACAGGATTTTGTTTTCTGCATCTTTCACATTATTAGACCCTGTTTTAAAAGCTACCTACTTTTGTGTAGTCCAACTTCTATGGTTGGACCACTTTATTTGTGAATTCTAGCCAGGTTGTCTGCATCTCAGTCACTCTTTTTGTGAGTCAGCTTTTTGCGAGCACTTGGAAAATGGTAATAGTCTTCCTTTCTTCTTCCTGTTTTTCCCCAGCAGGACGCACCTTATCTCAAGCAGATATTTTCACAAATAAAACATGATGGTGGCTGACGTAGACTTGATATTCTGGGCTTGGGGAGAGAGTGAAACTCGTGAGTGGGGCCATAGCGCGGCTTACTTAGTACTTTGCCCTTCGCTGCCCGCGGCATCAGCGGACGTCTATCTGGAGAACACTGGAGAAAACTGCAGTCGGTTCGTGCGCCGTGCGTTTTTGAACGGCACCAAGAAAGGAACACACGGCAAACGTGCGTTTACATTTCCTTGTTTTAACCGAAGTTCTAATTAATTGTTGATATGAGTGTCCTTATTTTTCTTTTATTACTTATATTTGTATACTGAAAACTTTTTTTTTATTCACCAACGTCTCAACCGAGGCTCGAACTGTTCAGACCCAAAGGAACAAGAATATCGAGCCAAACCTTATTTATTATTTAATTATCACCTTACTGTTAGAACTATGTTTTGAAATGTCTGTCAAAAAATGTCGGTATAGTAAGATGGACATAAATCAATTCTTATTCTACTCTTGGAAAAATGTATAATGACTTCCGCAGCTTCGCAATTTCGACAATGGAGAAGTTTAGTATATCGGTCTGATGGCTCCGACAACGACATCCGATACTTCGCCGCCGTCTTTGCGCATGCATCATATCGTTATCGGGTACCGTTATCGCGGGTATCGGAGGTATCGGAACGATCTAGTAAGTCTCTCGAATAGCAAGCAACGGCTGCAACTACGAAGATTTGCTTTACATTCGAGGTAAATGGTACTTCCATTGCTTCGGTGAAAAAGCTCAATGCAGAGCATGAAGCATTCGTGAGGAACAATGTGGCACTCCCATCCAGCGCCTCAGTTCAAATGGTGTTCAGCGTAACAGCCGACATATTGAGTAAGAAATAACGCAAAATGTCTGACGAGACTTTCGAGAGCCAGTGTTGCTCAAAATACTCAAGCTCATTAAATGGAACAGGTTGCAACAATAAGAACTTGAATGACCCTCTTGCCTTTATTTCCTACTTGAGTATTTCCTAAAATAATGTTAAAAGTAACGCCACGAAAGTAACGGATTACTTTTTGGAGTAATGGTCAGTTACTTTTATGGGAGGGTAATTGTAATTGTAATAAATTACAATTTAGCCTTGAGTAATTGTAATTGTAATTCCTTAGTATTTTTCAGTAACGTGTACAAGTCTGGATAGACCTCAAAGCTAGCGGCCTTGAGGTCTACCCACTATCCTTCCAATCGGAGCCAATCCCAGCTTGGCGTGCTGACGCCACCGCACCTGCTCAAGAAGCAGGCGAACTTGGGCTCGGCATTGGCCCTTTTCAAAAGTGAGCTGCATCTTGTAGCCGCTGCTCCAATCAACCGAGTTCGCCATTGTTTGTGCCGGTACTCTGAGCATATGTTGGACAGGAAAGTTGCGTCACTGTTCGGCGAGGACTCGGATCCAATTGCACTCTTTTGGCCTAAACAAATGGCGATCTGCAATGTTGCTGGGTGGACTTTTGAAAAGGGTCTTGGTATGGAGCTGATGCATAACAAACTGGGTGGCGTTGGCCACCAGGCCTATCACCCATTTTGTTTTACGAGGGAAACTAACCGAGTCAATATTTTGTAATCGGCAAAAAAGAAAAAAAAATAGATCTAAATGACATAAAAATGACATGTGAAACTTTTTTTTTTTATTTTTATGAATGAACCATTGCATTAAGATAAGGTCGTTATCTGATCTACTCACTTCTTTTTGTTAGGGCAAGGCGGCTGGTTGAAGTAATTAATTTTTGAGTTACGCCAATTGCCGCGTACAAAGCTTGTTTTCTTGCACGATATTTCAAAATAATTACGATAAATTAATTTTTCCTCAATTACAAAACATAACAGAACGAAAAAAAAAACGAAGGCCCAGTAGAACATACAGATCGACAATCAACTGTATCTTCTATTGGTCCATCTTTTTTTTTTTGATGGATTGCCAACTTGATTAGATTTGTACGCTTCTACAGTTCCTTCTCGATTAGCGTGCCTTTTGTTTTCTCGATTTCGCTCCCTTGACGTGAGAGAATCATATATTTAAGTTAGTGCGGTTGATAAATATTTACGCGAAGAACCCCCCCCCCCCCCCCCCCCCCCCCCAGGAAACTTAAATAAAGGTTTGTTTAATTTGATTACGACATGCTTCACCCGTGCGAAGTTTTTCTTAAGATATTTTGTCAACGACTTGAATTTGGGAGAATACGCAGTTAATCAGCGTGGAGAACGCTGTTGTGATGCGTCTGAATTGCAACTGCATGGCTCGTTAACGAGTAGGTTTATTTCAGGTGAGGATATCGACGGTTGGCTGTGGGGGAGCCATAATTACGAAGAATCATGTCCTCACGGCGGCTCATTGCTTTGACTAGTAAGGTCACATCTTTATGCCTATTACATATCAAATCGCGCAAGCAAAAAGGCTCGAATTTTTAATGTTGCTGAAAAAATATATGTTATGGCGTTGTCTCTAAAAACGCAATCGCCAGAAACCGCAAGTTGGTCGGATTTCTTTGTTCTCGACTTACGATTTTTAAAAGAGGCCACGGCGGAAAGCGGTGTTTTACACATCATTCGTGGGTCGGATGTCTCGCTCGATCTCCCGCCGTGGATTTTTAGTTCACATTATATTAACTTTTTTCAAGCACTCTGTGAGCAAAGTTAAAAGGCTCTAGTGCCATGAGATAATTTTAGGCGCTTTTCTTTTTTTCTATAAAATGTCAAAAACGCTTTCTCGGTTAATTGTTGATGAGTTTTGACAATTAAATACTGGCGATCTACTTGGGTTATATCGACATATGTTATGTCTATGGAGAGCCCAAAACACGCTCTTCATATATATTATAAATTAATTCAGCTATATAAAATGTCATTTGCGGTACGTTTACGTTAATCATCTGCTAAAACCAAAAAGTAGCAATTTTGAAATCGATTTTCTCAGAAACCCATTTTTTAAATTTTTTGTTCCAATGCAGATATGATAGTTGTCTACTCAAAAAGCAACTGGAGAAAGTGTGTTTTTAGTTCGTATGTTCTCATAAACAGTGGGGCTATTACTCGAGTAAATACGGTAAGAAAGCATTCCGAAAAAACGTTCATCGGAACCGCACCCGAAAAACAAAAAGTTCAGCGGGCCGAAGAAACACACACACGAAATAACAAAAAAATCTTAACTGACCGACGCCGAGTCTCGCCCCACGTCACTGAAGCCTGGCAGGATAACGGGGTCCAGATAATGCTCGAATCTATTCGTCACTCTGTTTCGCACAGCCACGACGGCTGTGCGGAACAGAGTGAAGAATAGATTCGAGCACCGATGCGGCGAGAAGGTAACTGAGGCGTAGCATGCTTCGAGCTCCATATCGGGAGAGAAGCTTTCGAGGTAGTTACTGCAGTTACTGAAACTTCCTCTTTCCCGTCGTGTTTTTCGGAGGAACACGTTAACCGGCGCTAACTTTTCATCTCAGGAAACGACCACTCTTCACAAACGGGTATAGTTAACAAGGAGAGTGACGTCATGTGGAATAACGTAACAGCGCACAACTAGAGAAGCGCTCGCAAACTCAGACACACCAAAAAATGTACACTCACTCGGCGTTGACTCACAACTCTTGCATTTGTATTGTCCTTCTTCTTCTATACAAAAAGACCCACCTCCTCTTTTTTTATGCCCTAGGAAAGAGATGACGACCTCAAAGGCAAATTACAAAAATTAGCACCCAATCAAATTTTGGAATTATTTAGAAATAAGTATTACAAATTAAAAAGTAAAGGAAAATAAGGAATCCTCACTGCTGGTGCCTAGGAGAACTTTTGGTTAAATACTCCAGCTCCCTTAGTGAGAGAGATAAAGAAGGCCTGCTGACACACTTGTCACTGTGTCCTTCGATGCTTGCTGCCTCGATAATCTCCCTGATTAGCTGATTGGGGCTCCTTCCCAGCACAGTGCAGTCACTCAAACGAGCCGAACACCCACAGTCCCTAGAGTGCACTCCCAAATGTCCAGAGTTGGTGATGAAGGGCGTTACATGCCGATAATTTTTTAATATTATCAGGTCGTTTCACGATGCAGAAAAGCTCATCATAGTCTCAAAAGTTCCCGAGTGTGTACCGCACCACAATGCGCTCAGAATACTAATAATAGCATTCTATCAGTTCCACTATAGAGTCACTGAAACGAACGATGGGCGAGTGCCGAGCTTCTTGCCTGATAATGCAGTATCAGCCAATCAAAACTCGTAAAAAAACTAATCACCAAACAAGTCGCGTGATAATGATAGGCCACACCCTGCGCTTACTAGGACGATCGCTATCATGCTCCAATGGCCACGCAGGTTCAAAGGCGAAGCGGGTGCACTCCTTTATCTGCTGACAGCGTGAGTGCTGAAAAGCAATGCGGAAAGCAGATTCGTCTGATCCTTGCTCGGGAAAGGGGGAGGGGGGGGGGGGTGTTGCAGTGACGTCAGAACTACGCCGAGCTCTGATTGGCTTTGATTGAAAGGATAGCGGGGAGACCTCAACGCTAGATGGCTTGGGGTTTTCTGAGTCGTCAGTGAACATAGTAACTATTCAGGCAGGCCTGAGGCGGATTTAATGACGTAACTTATTTTTTTTTTACAGTTACTTGGCGGGACCCATTGAAGTGATAGCAGGTTTACTCTGTCCAAAGAAACACACGGTACGGTCATTTTCAACATAAGAACAACCAGCGTCGTTAAGTGTTTTTTTTTTTTTTTTTTTGTATTGATGCTTACTTGCCAAAGTACTTACCAGCGACGAGTCACCGATGTCGTGTTCGAAGGCAAATGTGTATCAAAATAACAGGTCTGAGGCTCTTGACTTCCTTTTTTCGTTAAATCTAATATCAGGCAGTAATACGGTCGTATGCCAATGTATACTTAACTATAGAGAGGCAAAGAGAAAGATAGAAAAAAGAGTTCGAGAAATTGTTAATTTTTTGACGAGACAAAAGTGATTTAATGTGAACAATGCTGTACATTGGAAGTTAGAAGACAAAGAGCGTGATAGTTTTTGTCAAAAATTTAAAATGCATTTAAAATGCACGTTATTGTTTTGTACATACTAAAATAAAATGTTAAAAAACGTCATTCACGGGCCGTTCAATCAAGAATATCAATAGATCGGCTCGTGGTACCGGTATACCAATCTCAAACGTTCAAGGCCATCTAAAATACAGAGAATAAGTGACGTTTGTATACAGTGTTTTCGTTTTAGACTTTTAACTTCTAAGTCTAATATTTACGTAGAGGAGCTCATGTTCTAATTAGACACGTGAGAGGAGTTCTTTGAAAATGCGCTCTAGTATTCGATTGGGCAATTTTAAGGACGCCTTTTTTTGTTGATGTATATATGATTATAAGGGTGGCGTGCTATTGTTGTTACAAAGAATTAAAAGAACCAAAACAATATAAAACAATAAAAGCTAATACAAATCCCCATTATGCAGGTCAGTCACATTCAGCGTCACGAGTTTTACGTAATAGGCTCAGTGGACACAAACTACGACCTCGCGATCCTAAAGGTAGACCCAGAGTTTCAGTTCACGAAAGAAGTGTATCCAGTGAAAATTCCAGTCCAAGAAGTGGAAGTTCGTGGGACCGTCGCCGTGTCTGGGTTTGGAAACACACACGCAGGTGGGTGTCGACTTTCGAGATACCCGCTTCACTCGTTGCAGATGGGCAGACTTTCAGAGTTCGAGAAACAATTCTACGGTGTCCCAAACCTGTACGATTTGGAAAGGTGAACGCAGGTCTTTCTTGATGGCGAAACAAAGTCGACGAGGTATTTACGCAATAAATCAACAGTGAGCGCAATATAATACAAAAGTTAATTGCTCGATGGGCTTTGTAACCTTAGAAACAGACCGTGCAAAGGACGAGCAAACAATTTGTGAGGAAATAATATGGTGCTATTGAGCGACAGATATAGAGGAAGTATGTTTCATTTAAGCGCTAACTCAGACCCGGCTTTTTCAGTGCTCTTACAATACCAATGGTAAGGCTCTTAGGCTGCCTTTATTCAGATATCTAATGATTAATTTTTATCGGATCTGGGCTGTAAAATTGAATAATCTTAAAGAACGTGTAAGGCGAAAATTGTTCTAGAGCGGTGCTCTTAGGCACTCGTTGCCGTGTTTCGCAATGTCGGCGTCGCCGTCGGCGCAACCGCGCTCGTTGCATTATGTGACGTCACAGACCTATACGCCTATTCAATTCCCCGCCAAATTTAGTGAAGAAGGTAAATTGGTGTGTAGGTCTGTGACGCAGAGGAAGGCGCGGTGTCACGCGTCAACGAGCGTCTACACTTCGTCTCACTTCAGCATGGACTAACTGCGAAGGCTGTGCAAGCGCGAGCGAGCAGCCTTGACTGCCTCGACCAGAGCACTCGCTGCACGAGCGCTCGTGCAGCCGTAGCTCGCGCTTTTAGCATGCGCGGCTAGCAGTAAGTTGAGACGTAAAAATAACAGACAGTCGGCGCAGAAGTGGCTATAAATGAAACCGAAACTACGGCTGGAGATGTGTTGGAGAGGGAGCCAGTTCAAAGAGAGGGAAAATAAAGAGAAGGAAGGAGAGAGAGAGGAAAAGAAAGAGAGATACTGAACATGAGTTATGAGGAATTACTTTGCTATTTGTTAAGAGAACACATTGTACTCCACTCATTTGCACTAGGCAACGCGCCTAGAGTGCCAAATCTTTCATAGCGGAGAGGAAACGCCTAGTCTGACGAACGATGAACATCGCGCTGTACACTGACTCGCTGTCGTATTTTTGCGTTGAATCGAGAGAGCAGGCTGCTGCTGACGCACCATTTGACTCAAGAAAAGAGCAGAAAGGCCGTCCCCGCTGTCTCAATGGGTTTCTTTGCTACGACGATAGATGGCGGCAGCCACCCCTCATAATTCGAATTGGAGTACTCGGAGGCTGCGCGCCTCCAGCCGTTCCAACTACATAAAAGCTGTCAACGCCAAGACCCTTCGAGTTTTGCAGAGTAGATGTATTATCTAGTAAAGCACTTGGTTAGAGCAATATATCATATGCGAGTCAGTAGAACTATAAAACTCGATGCAGAGGTTTATGGGAGGACAACATCATCAACACCGCTACGCACGCCGTAACACCAGAACCATTATGTGCTTTTATACTGAATTGTTTTTGAAGTCAAACAATTATATGTTCAGATATGAACGTGATCGGTATTGTCTGTTGAATCCGAGAGATTGATGTCATGGCTTCCTAAATGAAACTTTGGATATCACCGCAGTTTTCAGTTTATTGAATTTCAATGCAAAGAGCTTTTTTCAATATTTATGCTCTTTTTTAGAACCGGGACCCGTGAAAAGTCTGCAAACAACGATACTTACCGTGGTTCCAAGCGATCGGTGTGGGTACCCTCCCAACATCATATGCACCGAGGTAGATGAGACGGGAGTATGTCCTGTGAGTACATGCATATATTGATGTTAATATACGTGAAAAATTAAGGATTTTTAAATAACATTAGTTAAGTCAAGTGAAACATGTTATGCCTCTACTCAGTAAAGTGAGAAGCTATGCAAACTGCGAAGCGTGAATCGGTCTTTAGTGAAGACGGGGTGTGCGAATAAGTACCAAGTTTACTGTTGTTTTATGTTAGTCATATATAAATAACGCCATGTGCTGTAAAAAGACATATAGCACTTGAAGATTGTTCAGCCGCTTTCTTGTAGGGTTTTTTCGCTACTGCTTCACAGACGTGCGGGCACCCTAGTGGCACAGAACTGCCAACCATGTTGTCTGCACATTAAGAATTGACTGGCATTAGGTGCGTGTGTAGTCAGACGAAAAAAAAACAAAAAACGTTGGCGAATATAGAAAAACAATTGTCGAAACCTGTTTTATTAGACCGTATATCCTAAGCGTCGGTGATTGTTTCAAACTCAATGTATATCAATTTTATCAAACCCGAAAGAAAATGCAAGTAACATTAGAACATATCTACGTTTATCTAAACTGCCAGACAGTATGCCGCTATCTTGTAAAATAACGAAAATAATTTAAAAAAAAAAACGCTGCGACTGGGGGTTGTTTTGCTGAAACAGAGTTTGATTTTATGTTCTGTCTATATCCAACCGACAAAGACGTGCGGCCGGAAACGAATATTGGAGTACGTAGAACGACATAATCAGGGATGTAAATGATATCGTAGCTTCGTCGTTCCTCAACTCGGCCCGAAGGGACGTGATTTGAGAAAACACCGAAAATGCACCCGCTTAAATGTAACCATGCGCCATAGAAATCGCATTCAATGCGCCCTCTATCAATTTTGACTTGGCATCGACTACCCAAGGACACGCGTACAGCATAGCACATTGCGCTCTGGAACCTATGGGGAATTACAAGCCTCGATAATTCCTTAACAAAAATAACTGCAAAACACAATTTTGCTTTCCATTGCATCAACATAAGCTTAGGCGCATACTTCTACAAATTACAAAAAAAAAAAAAAACGCAAGTAATTTACATTTACACGAGCCTAAATTTTAACAATTCGCAGTTGCAATTACCCTTCTATAAAAGTAAGTGACCGTTACCATAAAAAGTAATCCGTTACTTTCGCGGCGTTCCTTTCTGTCTTACTGTCTTAGTGTAAGACACAAAGCACAAGAGTGTTATGGCATAGCCTCCTCTATACGGAGAAAGCCTGGCGCGTCGCGTGGAAAGACGGCCGCCGTAAATGGGAAAGGAGGGGCGGAGAAACGGGAGCGGAGAGATCCTTGACTGCTAGCGCCACAAAAGAGCGAGCGGCCAAACGCAGAAACAATCTTTTTTTTTCTCTCTCTCTTTTCTTGTCGCTATCGTGGAGAGGAGAAACTCAACGTGTCCACCCTTTCCTGTTTCTCCCTGCGCCCTTTCGAATCGCCGCGCCCGTTTCTCCCGGAGTACGAAAACGACGGTGACGAAAACACAAAAACAAGCGTGGTTCGGGGAGCGGCCGCTCATGACCCAAGCGCTCGCTGTCTAGGTCTGCCCTTTCTGCTCTGCGCTACCATATTGGTCACCGTTCGGCGCGCTCCTCCTCTCCTTTTTCCTGCGGCCGCGCGCTCTATGGCTCCGTCGTCGATGTGCCAGGCTTTCTCCGTATAGAGGAGGCTATGGTTATGGAAGCGTTTATTGTTGCCACCAGCCACACTTTTGTGACCCTGAGCAACTGCTGGCCCTTCAAAGTCTCGTCGGACGTCTTGCCTCGGTTCTAAGTGAAGATGTCGTCCGCCGCGCTTATTTGAGAAAATGAACCTTTTTCAGAGAAGAGTTCCGCGCACGCGCGAGCGCCCGATGCCAAGCGCCGGAAGTCGGCACGAGAAATCGAGGAAATTCGGAAGGAGGCTGTGGATCAGCGAGTAGAACACGGAATCGCAGCATTAATATAATTGTGCGACACAAAAAAGAAAAAAGAGAGTGCAGGGAAAGAAAAACACGACGTTTGAGTGGACGCCACGGATGCCCTTCTTTAAAGTCGGGTTGGTCGCGCGTCCAGTCAAGAACTCCGTAAGGAAAAAGCACCTAGAATAGCGGCTGTACCTTTAATCGCCGTAGTCGTAAGCTGTGCAACCTGTGCTTCACCGAAATCACCAGTTAATCACGTTTTCACCGCCATCTTCCAATAGAGTTCGGTCAATCCCCCCTCCCGCGGCCGCGCCCATGGTCACCCATCTATTGAGAATCCGCCAGATTGAGCAAAAGTTTCCTAATTTGTGGTGGGCCGTCCTTCAACAGAACCGGGCGTCGGCGTCCCCCGTCTCCCGCCGTTGCCGGGGACGTAGGACACCATCGTTCGGCTCATTTCGACCCCTGCGGCCCGATTTCGGTCCAAAACAGGTCCAAAAGCCCTCTCCCCCGCCGGGAACGCCGCCCGGCTTTATCACCGGGATGGGGGAAAAACGGCTGCGTGAATGCGCTTTTGATTGCCACCTGCCACACCCGTCCACCGTCGTCGCCATCGATGCTCGCTGCTCGCTAGGTTATAGCGAGTTCATTTCACGGCACTCGTGTGCACGCGCGCCCACTCGCAGCGTGGAGCGAATCCGTTTCGGTCGGCACTCCACGAGTGGTTGAGCGCTCCGAGTACGTTTCAGCGGCGGAAACGCGTGCATGCACTCGCTGCACCGAGAAAATCCAGCGTGCGCCAAAATGCAATCCCGTCATGCCTCGCTCTGGCGAGGAGCGAAAGCAGACGACGAGGGTTCGTCTGCTACGAGGTGTCGTTCGTACAGCGGAACCGTAAAGAAAAAAAGTAGATTTTCTGATAGAAATCGTGTCCCTCGGGCTTCGGAATCAAACGCGAGCTTGAATTGTGAGCGTCTCCTATTTCATGAAGGAAGCAATTGACAACTCGTGCTTTATTCGCAAGTTTTTAGTCGCATCATTGACGTACAGACGCTGAAATATACAGGTGTGTAAAGGAATGCTCAGAACAAACGGACCAGTGGCCCGCGAAATCTCTATCAACATCCGTGTGCGGGTGAAAAATTGACCATTTGTGGACAAAGCTAGCCGAGGAGAAACCTGCGACTGCCCAATAAGCATCCGAGAAAGCTAAACATAGTGACTTTACCCGAGGCTTGGGCAACATCATTATGTTTAACATTTACCTCCATCAGCTTACTTGCCCCGTCGTATTTTGTTTGAGTTTTAATCAGGCTAGTTTTAAGCCATACCGTAGTTTAGCTTACGCCATCTGTAAATATCTCTATGACAGCCAAGTTGCTTGAAGTCATCGCATATATAAACTACACTATAAACGTTGGCAGCGAATTCACTCTCGCATTCCCACCCATCACGTAGAACAGAAAGGCGCTAGTTTCGGTCTGAAGTCGGTACTCTTTCTACAGCAAAGATGGCGACAGCACCAGTCTTCTGCACTCGGTGAATTTGGCAAGTTTGTTTGAGGCCAGTTCTCCATGTGACACTCCGCGAGTGTGATGCAGTATGGGAGAGAACTCGAACGGTGCCAGTGCGTGTGAAACGCACTGGCACCATTTTATGCTGTGCTATCCTGTGTACACTGTTGTGTTTATGGTTTTCAAATGGTTGTTTACGGTTCGCAACTTTTCATTATTCTGCCTTCGTGTGTGCCACGCTGAGTGATGTGCGGGGGGGGGGGGGGGGGAGGGGAGAGGAGGGGAGGGGAGGGGGTCGACGCCTCGTCAGGCATTTAGTTGCCTTTTGCGACGCCCCCAAAACAACTGTCTGATGTATGTTGTCTGAATAAAACATTGAATTGAATTGAATTGAACTCGCTGTTACCTTGCTTTTTACGAATTCGCCCTGGTTCTCCCTATGAAGCTGATCACAAGGTATGAAAGTCCCAAGTGCGTAATTTCGCACTGCTCGCGTGACTCTCGTGCCGTTGCGCACGCGCCGCATCTCAGAGAGCGAAGACACTGATAGCGGAGCTCTCATTATCGATTGGTAGCGCAGGTCACTTCCTCGATTTTAGTTCGTGCGGACACCGCCTGGTGCCGTCGGTATGTGGAAAAGGTTTATTGAGAGAGTGAATTGACTGACTCAATTGAGGCACTCGCAAATACCTGACGAACTGCATTGCGTGCTTCTTTAAAAAAGTGGAATAGCTCTCTGGCCCTGGTGAAACCGCAAAGCTTGTAGGTAAACCCGGGGTTTGACACTGTTAGAATCGCAAAGCCATAAAAATTGTAATACAGATACTTAAACCTCGAATAAAATCACAGATAGTGAACATAATATATAAACCTATCTTAGCCGGCAAATATCGCCAAACGGTGCATGGTGCAGGCAAATAGCAAGACACGGTAATCAGATATAAACAATTAAATAAAATTTAAAATATGTTTTTACATTAATTTTTCATTAGTTCTCAAAACACGCAGTGCCTTGGTTGAGACGTCGTTGAATAAGAGTATGGAGCTTTTTGGATGTAGAAGCAGAAAATAAAAAATCAGAAGATTCCTCAAAAAACAAAACTATAATGTAAATTAAAACGGAAATGTAGGCGCGGGTACGCCGTGCCACCGTTTCTTGATGCCGTCCCAAAATGCATGTAGCACAGGTCGTCTGTACTAGAGTTCAGTGTTCTTCAACTAAAGGCCAGATGAGGCAACAGCAGCGTCCCCTTACAGGGACAGCAGTAATTCTAATTTCGTGAAATACGAGCTATATAAGAGGCTTAACGTTTAGAAGCCGATCATCCAGGAGCTGGAGTGCGCGATTTTGACACCGCGGTACCACCCTCGCTGAAACTTGCCATATATTAGCGACGACGTGTCTTAATAGCGTAAAAAACAAAAAAAAAAAAAAAATAACAAAGAAGCGCACACACCTGACGCACGAAAAGAGTGACAGGAATGTAGGCAACCTGAATCTCTCAGAGGATTAGGTGAAAAGCAGCAAAAAAATCAAATTAACATTCGTATACCCAAAGACGATAAGAGTTCTATATCTTTCGAGCACCATGAAAGCTAATTTGAGGTCACATTTCTTCCAGTCGATTTCTGAGTTGAACTTTATCCAGTGGGGAAAACGGAGCGTGCCTTCTTTTTGTGACATCATGCAAACTGTCGTGGTCGGCATTGTTCATTGTCTCGAGCTTTCGGAAAGCGCGCACTCGACGACCGTATCGTGTCCTCCCGGCATCCTCGAAAGCAAAGCAGTGAAGGGACAATAATGAAAGGCGCACATAGATCCGCTACGCCAACTCGCGTGCACTTCGGCTGTTTTTTTTTTTTTTTTTTTTTTGGAACAAAGTATTTTTACTTCGGGAGTTTGCTTAGTATTGTTTGCACCGAGAGTGTGATTCCCTCTTCGCCATGGGCGAGCAAGCTGGGCGAGCAAGCTGACAAGCTACAACTTGCAAACAACCGAGCCACGAAAAAAAAAAAAAAAAATAAATAAATAATGAGAGTTTTTGATGACGTCAAAACGTTTCCACATCTAAAAATGCCAGTCCTTGCGTTTTTTATGCGCAGGTGAGAGTGTGGATTCCGGTAAACTTACCCTGACAAAAAACAAAAGCAAAATCTTTTTTTAGAAACATTTTTTGTTGCTTTATATTCCTGCTTTTTCCCCGTAAATGAAAACGAAATGTAACAGATTACGGTCATTCCCTTACCTAAGTATGTAAGAAAATTTCTTTACAGTTACTTTGTAAAATTTATAATTATTCCCTTCCAACAAAACTGATAAATCTAAGGAATTACAAGTTATATCGTTAATAGTAACGGATTACTTACAAGTCTGTTTAAGCGTCATCAATTTTGGGTAACCTAGACAGAGGAAGTTTAATTATTCACTTAATCATAATCTTTTGGAACTATAACCTACGTTTTCGGTAAATACTGGATTATACGAACCGCTGAGACATCATACGCTATATTGTTACAAGTTAGAATTTCTACTCCAGGCGATGCAACCTAATTAATCGCTTATTTTTATTCCAACCTGTTAAGGTCATGCATCTAATGCTGAGGCCATAGTCCGTTACAGACAGGAAAATCTCCTTTAAAGTTTTATTACATGTAAACAAACTAAACTTACACAAGTACATTTAAAATTAGTCTAGCTAAATTTTGGGAATGATAATTTATCATCAAAGTCAACGTCCAAGCTCAAATTCAAAGTTGTTTATTTTTGGCACAAATGGGCGTTAGTGTAATACAAAATATATGCGGGCGGCGGTCCTAAGTTATTACGAAAAAACAGTAGTTGAAGCGACTCGGTTGTTATGACTTATGCGATTCAATAAAAAAAGAAGAAAAGTGGTTATCTAAATGTTCTAAAAATTAAAAAAAAGCATAAAAAATATTCAGCCTTTCCACTCTGGTGCAGAAGGAAGAGCAGTGAAGTTGTAGCTTTGTTCTCGGCGGTGGCTTTCCAGGCGAGCGATCTACTCTTCTTTCGCAAGGGAATCTGAAGCGCTCGACGCAGTGAAACTTTAGGCGATAGCGGCTTCGCGGCGGTTGCGGAACCATCGGCGCTGCTGCGCACATCGCCGCTCGTTCCGCTCCCGCTCTTCTCCCTCCGCAGAAAGGTTGCCGCCATCTATGAGCGACGGCGGCAACCAGTTGTCTGGTTGCCGCCGTCGCTCATAGATGGCGGTCGCTGTCCAGAGTTCGGTGTCATCATTTCTAATCCGGTGGACACGATCCTGGAGAAACTAGCCCCTAACAACTCCGCTGTTTAAAAAAAAAAAAAAGCATAGGTGGAGAAATGTGCATGTCTCTGAGTGTGCGCGTGTGTTTGTGTGTGTGTGCCATATTACTTACTTCTGTATTCACCATCAAGTTTGGTTGGTGCTTTATTTGCAAAAACATCAAAACGAATTTATGATGTATTACCTGTTTTATATAGTGCTTGCAACATGTAATATATCAGGCTCGGCGGACATTAGATGACCATAGCCTCCTCTATACTCACAAAGCCTGGCAGTTCGACGATGGAGCCATAGAGTGCCCGGCCGCAGATTTGGAGTGCGAAGATTTGGTAGCACAGAGCATCAAAGAGCCAGTTCTCGGGGAACCTGGACGTCAGCGCACAACTTTGGAGAGCGGCGAAGACCCGAAACACACTTGTTCTCTCGGGAGAAGTGTGTTTCGGCGTGTCGCAGCAGCGAATCGCCAGTCACGTGGCTCTCCTCTTGTCCATTGTCTGCCGCTCTACCTTTTCCATTTCGGCGGCCGCTTTTCGTATACAATCTGCCAGGCTTTGTCAGTATATAGGAGGCTATGGAGGAGTGTATGATTTTCATGGTAAGTTGACTATTTAAATAAAATCTGATAATTAACTCTTTAAGGCCTGTTTACACATGCAGCGGAGCGCCACAAGCGTAACGCTGACATCGTGCTCAGCGCATGCTGGCGGGAGCATTCACGAGCTTTGTAACGCACCGCCAAAACTGTTGCTCATGGCAGATGATCAGTAGCTGACGACACGTGAGAAGCGCTACATCAGCGCTTCGCTGCATGTGAGAACCGGCCTTTAATTATTGATTTTAGAGCTTCATGTTGCATTTAAAGTATTGACACCCATTACTAGTAGAGGCCAAATCACTTAAAATATAGCGATAATGAAATAGTTTTTTTTTAGATAATATTTAACAGATAGTCACATTCTTTTAAACTGATCAAAAAAATGAGTGCAAAAGGAGCGCATTAAGCCCGGCGTACAGTGATGCTTAAAATGACGACGTATAAGCCACGTCGTCAGTTATGTCGTCGGCGCACCCACCAAGGACACGCTGTCGAGATAGTGACGAAATTATCGAAACGACTACGTCACTCTTCCAAGCGTCATTGTGGGCAATGCTGGCGATATTCTTTATGTGCGAAATATTTGATTGGGGTTAAAAAAACGTGAGAATAGAACAATAATATATATGAAGAAACTGTTACATGCTCTCAAATCTTTTGACCGGCCTGGCCTCTAACAGTAAATGTCGTCAATACTGCCAGTGCAACATGACCCCTAAAACCAATAATCAAAAAGTTAATTATCGTATTTCAAACAATTAGAAGTCTTTTCAGGACGATCATCCCCTCACCTAATGTCCGCAGTGCTTGATAAATACAGGGTTTCTTTTAACGAAGCCGTCTGTAATAGATTCAAACACAATGTACATTGTTACGCTTTGCGTCACTGTTATCAGTGGGATCCAATGACAGCAGGAACTCAGACCCGTGTCCCGTTTACTTCTTCATGTAGGGGGATTCTGGAGGCCCAGTCGTCCAGCTCGGACCCCACGGGGTCGTCCTGGTGGGCATCATTAGCAAGGGCGGTTCTCTGTGCGGAAACTCTCCATTATTCAAGTATGACCTCCACGTTAACGTCGGTGCCCACGTCCCGTGGATCTTGCAGCACCTGATTCCGTAACAGCAGAAACACTGCAGACAAAACGCCCTATAGTTAAAAAAACAACACCCGAAACCATCGTGAATAAAACATTAAAAAAATATCGAATTCTTGTGTTTCAAAAACATCCGTCTCATTCCCTCAGGAAGAGACGATGCAGCTTTGCACGTACCCTTGAGGATGTTGCAACCTCAGCACACATATCATATCCGTCTTAGAGACCGACGACCAGTTCGCGCTCTCCACCTTCCCCTCGCTTCCTCCTCTCCCCCTTCTAATCTGTCCACCGTTTCCTGTTTCCTTCTCCCCCATGATGAGGAGGATCTTCTGCTTCGCAGGATCTCGAAAGTGGTCGTCGGCCTTTAAGCTCGCAACTTAAAAATAAATGTCTGTTTCAAACGTAAGAACTGTTTACTCTGCTTCACTTTTTAAGTCGAACCGTGGCTGACGTTAACGGTCTGTTGGAAGTCGAATCAAACAGCGCCCAAAGTGCACCGTCACAGCGTTCATCGCCTTTGTGCGTTTTCTATATCACCAACCAAACCAATCGTCCAAATAAAAAATAAAAAAAAGGCGCACGATCTCGGCGAAATATTCTGTGTGCCGCGATCGTACGTATTTTTTTCGGTGATGAACATAGTAGTCGCTAATGAACTAAGTTTGAACAAACGCACAAATCTGGTGATTGGTGAAACATTTTTTGGCACTGCTTCATTCGCTCTATCCTTCTGTAGCGTCTGCTGCTGTCGGACTTATAAGGCGAGTTCACACAGCCCCGTTTTCTTACGTTACGTTACGTTACTAAAGCTTACATATGCAAGACACCGGGACATCTTTGCTTGATATTAAGCGTGGCTACCAGTTCCGGGGAATTGCCTGGCGGCACGCGACATTAAAGACTGGAAAGTTTCGGTGACTCTTACTTAACGTAAGATAACGTAAGAATACGGCGCGGTTCGAACCAGTTTAATGTCAAACAGAGTATGTAAAGGAGGTCCCGTTTACAAGGTCCAAGAGAGGAATAACGTCTCTACGCAACTCTGCACAAACGCGTCATTCTTCTGACAACGCGGACAAAAAGAAGCAGTGAACAGCGCCTCTTTTTTCTTTTTTAATAAGAGCGTTTATCTTTAAAACTAGTTTCAATTCTTGAGGCATGGGTGTGCACTGAGTACTGGCGGAAAGTTGTTCCTTGTCAGCCAGGGCTCTCTTGCCTTTCTTACATTACAATAAACTGACATGACGAACCGTGTAAAAGTTGGTATTAGCCCCGAGAGCGAACACAAGCGTCGCTGCGGTCGCCGCGCCCTGATTGGTCGAGGTGTACCGTGACGTCAGGGGGCTGACTCCGCTCCTCGATCTCGCATCGGCTCGCTTCCCAGCACCGATTTCCTTGTTTTGACGTTGTGTGCCGCAAGCTCTTCGAGAAGCTGGACTTCGTTTAGCCGGTGTACAAGACGTTGAGTTAGGCCGATATTGACGTGCTTCCGTACATTTTATAAGCCTGCTTGACCCTTTTACCTTTAAAATGGGGTTACAAATCCCGAAAGCTATCGGCGGAGGCGACTCCGCCGATGAGCCTCCCCGTCTGTCCACACGACACAAAATCTTGCGAGCGGTCGGTGAAGCAGTGGCGCAAGTGTTTCAGACACTGGAATTTTGTTCCTTGCATGTTCATGATTTAGGACGACATTAGATCCCGCTTTTAAGGCAATTGAAGTGGCATTTATATCATGGGCCTTTGGGTGGTCGGCAAATTAGCTCGCGACCCTGACTCTGCGCTGCCACTCTGCATGCGCTGATTCGCAGATGTTTTAAAGGCCCTGCGTCTGATGATCTTTGAAGTGCTCCTGAAACAAGGTTATTTTACATAAATGTAGCTTCTTCGTGAATTAATTATATAGTTTATACGCGTATTCAGGCATATTTCTTAGAAGATTTACCATTACTGGAAATTAGTTTGTAAGGTAGCAGCAAAAACGGCCGAATTGACCCCAGTTGCCTGTATGATATGTATGGAACTGCACAAAATATGCAGAGCAATAGTGCCGTAATTTAGAATGTTTATAATTTTTTCTGACATTTTTTATTCCAGCCTTGGGTATTCGGAAAATACACCGTTTAGTCTGAATTGTCATTTCCAATTAAAAGAGGCACTGCTGCAGGTCCCCAAGAGCTTCCTCAGCCTCCAAACTTCCTACAGCTGGACTCTCTGACAACAGAGGAAAACAGGAGTAAAAGCAAGCATTCGAACGTCTTTCCAGTGGTAGATGCAGCACTAGTAGCCGAAAATGTGGAACCTGGAAGGGTGACAGTCTGCGTGAGAAAAGCTTCTGGTATTTTAGCTTCAGGACAGTTTGATTTAAGTAAAATCTACATTTTAGGGCTAAAGGGACTAATAACGAGCTAGACACCTTCGTTTACGTTTGTTATACATTACTTGAAGGTTGATATAAACAAGTCCACAGATACCACGTCCACTGAAATACTATCCGAATCCAGCAAAAGTCAAATGCGAGCAATGTATATAATAAATTTTCCGTGTTTTTTTTTTCATTTTGCCCCTGCACTTGGGTTGTCTTATTTGTGATTCTCTCCCCATGGCCGAGACTGTATTTAGCATGTCGCTCGAGCAGCATGCAGCTTTTCTGCTTTGGCTAACTTGTTTAAAAACAGAGATACAAAAGAAATAGTATACATAACCTGCCAATTCATTCAGATTATCAGCAGAATTTATTGTGCGAGACGTAAATCTATAGTGGTGCTCCTGCAATTGTGGCCATATTTCTTTACTTTCATATACCAGCTGTGATTCACGCGTTGCCTGCCCTGTCAACCCTGCTTAAAATGTTGGTTGAAGTTTCGCGTGTAGTTACAGGCCATACCTCAATAAAGACACATAGAAATTTGCACTTCCTACGAAAACACGCCAAAAAAGATTAAATAGAAACGAGCGCGCCGACAGCTAGCGTCGTCACATCCTCCACAGGGCGAGCGGGGCGAGTCAGGGAAAAATTCTCTCCTCGCCGTGACCTCAGTCAGTCAGTCAGTCAGTCAGTCAGTCAGATGGACCAAAACCCTTTTAAAACAGGGCGGGCGCTCCTAGGAGGAGTGCCTCTGGTACCGTAAATAAAATAAAAAAAAATAGTCACTTCTGATGTGCACTGTTGAGGTCGTTGAGGTTGTTCAGGCGTTCCGCTCTAGGCAGGGGGTTTCGCGGTGCGGCAAAGTCGCTCCCACGCCACTAGGCGGCGTTTTGTTGCGTCCGTCGAATGCGTGCGGTTTTTACGGTCACCGTCGTCACCGCTGCCCTCTTCGGCCTCTTCTCCGTAGCCAAGGGCCTGTTCTACACCGCACTGCAACGCGCTTTGCCCTTTCTGGTCGATGCCACTGCATTGTCCCAAGATGTGTTCGACAGTCTCCTCGTCGCCGCCACAGAGCCCGCAGTTTGGGTCTTCTCCATAGAGCTCAAATCTGCGTCTCTGGGTCAGTAGGGAGCCCGTTCGAGCCTGGAACAGCAGCGCGCTGGCTCGGTCTCCCCGGTAGTGTGGATAGGGTGCTGGTTCCTTCTTGTGTTTCCTGCACAGTTGGAGGCTCTGTTTCTTCTGCATTGTCCTTCTCCAGTCCTCTATTCCGGCCCGTGTCACCTCTGTCCGTGTTGTCCTCGCCCACTCCCGTTCCGTCGTCGCCAGATGCCTTGTTGTGCCCCCACCGTACTTAGAATCTATGGTCTTTATTCTCTTCATCCAGCCTGTCTTGGACCCCTGATATCGGATGTGGTAGTACATCCTTCTGGCGTAGCTCTCCTGGGGAAGGAACTTTAGTCTGCCCATGTATGCAAGCTTCGACCTGGCCTCTCGTATCTCGTGGGTGGACCATCCCATTTCCCCGGTTACCGCTGCGTTTGCTGTGCAGCTGCTCCCCCCCAGCAGCCATCTCCCCAGTTCGTATTGTTGTCGATCCAGACACTTCACCACTGTCTCGCTGTATGTAAGTGCGTCATTCGCGTAAGTCACTGCTGGGACTGCTAGGGATTTCCACAGTACCCTCCCAACCGAGTACTTATTGTACGAGTGCCTGGCGAGATGCCCACCACCCCATTCAATTTGTTCGACTTTTTAATTACGTTTTCTTCCTGTTCGGTCAGGTACTCCTTGCTGTGCGTTATTGTTACACCAAGGTATTTGTAGGCTGTTGTTTTCTGTACCTTTTGATTTTGTAGGTAAAAGGTGGTGTCCAAATTCACGTTGAAGCCCATCCACTGAGTTTTTCCTGCATTAATTTTAAGGTTGTCCCTCGCTGCCACCCTTGTGCAGATGTCCATCATGTGCTGCATGTCGGTTGATGACTCTGTGATGAGCAGCACATCGTCCGCGAAGGCCAGGCATGGGATGCGCGTGTATTCCTCCTCTCAGTCCTTGGTCTTAGTGCTCAAGCGCAACCCTGCCCCTTCCTCTTCCAGCTGTTTGAGAAGGTCGTTTATGTACACATTAAATAGTGTTGGCGATAGGGGACACCCCTGTCTCAGTCCAATACTTATTGGTACTGGTTTTGATTTGTAGTTTTCCAATGTGTAAGAGGCCTCGCAACCCCTGTAGAAGCTCTTCAGGAGTTCGACACTTTCCTCCTCGAGTCCGCTTTTCTCCATCTTATCCCATAGTCTTTGATGTGGTACTGCATCATATGCTTTCTCTAGGTCTAGGAATGCCAGGAACAACTGGGAGTTTTGGATGTATTTCATTTCTATGGCCTGGGTTAACGTAAATAGGTTATCACTCGTTCTTCTGTTTTGCCGAAAGCGATTTTGAGCTTCTACGAAAAAGTTGTTTTTGTCATACAAGATCTGTAGCCTGTGGTTTATTATGCTTGCAAATAATTTGCAGACATTGCTAATTATTGCAATTGGTCGATAGGCATTGAGGTCTTTCGGGTCCGCTTGTTTCCCTTTATATAGAAGCTTTACTCTTGCCTGTTTCCGCACTTTCGGTATTTCTTTTGACACCAGGATGTCATTAAAACATGTTCTGAGGTTGTCTACTGCCTCTTTCTTGAGTGCCTTCAGGAACTCGTTTGGAATATCGTCCATACCGGTTGCCTTCCTGTTTTTC